TGGGAGTATAAAGTATTGGTTTGTACACCGATCTATCTCTCAGGATGTGCCCATCCTGGGTTGATTCCTTTGCGGATCAGGCCAACCGATTGTTCCGCAAAGCTACTAATAATTCATATGTTACTAGCTAAGTGTCAGTGTCAGTGTAACACTATCACAGCTACTCAACTTTCTACTATTTATGTATGGGTTCGGAACTGAGTGTCATGAGGATTCAATGCCTTTTCTTCGTTTCTATTAAGGCAACATACTTAAGCAATGGGGATGTCGTAGGAATAACCGTTTTAACAGATTCTTATGCTGAACTGCCGGTCAATGAATAAAAAAGATGACTAAATGCGAAGGTTCGTGTTCTAGGTGTTAACATGAGTAAAGGAGACGTCTGGTCGAGCACTGGAACAGTTTGTTTATAGTTCTGAGCTTTCAAATTAGTACATGAGTTTATCTTCAGAGATAGCAACAGGAACAGCGTAGGTGACAATTAAAGGGAGTGCAAACTAATCAGCTTTCAGTGACGCGCATCTGGAGGTGAGTACGCAGAGCTCTGTACGCCGGAGCCAAATCGATTAATCGATTGATTTAGTCCCCATCACTGGACGATGCTTCAATCAAAAAACTTACCAGATGCAACCATAGACACAACGTTTTGCGTATAAATATGGTTTTTTGCCGTGAAATTACTGTGTTTTTGGTGAGTTTCAGTGCCCTTTAAGTGGCACCAAAATACTCTTCGGTCTTCAGGGTTTTCAGGGTATTCAATCGACTGATCAACGAGATGAACTTTAACATTTCTTGTCTGTGAAAATCCTCAAAAGGAGGTGGAGCTTTCATCTGAGTAGACAGTCCTAGGACGTTCTTTTTTATGCAGGTGTCGGTTCGAGTCATATGTGCGGACAAACCGAAACGGCCGAAGAGAATGCACTTCAGCAATGACAGCCTGTCGTTTTTATGCACTCCTGATAGTCGGAAAAGCCTCTTCCAAAAGTGCTTTATTAGGGCACTTTGCTGATGACTGTCAACATCTTTGCCCTGAAACGGGCCGTGCATTCGATACGCTGGATTAAAATGGTGGCCAGATCAGGAAACGACAAGCGTTATTAGGGATGCGCATCCATAACAAAATGGGAAAAGTCTAGTATAGGGCTCAGTTCGGAAACCAAACCCCCAGACTTCTATAAAAACGCGAGCGATGGTATTGGAGTCTATACGGTTGGAGTAACATAGGGGCGCAGGATAGAAAATAAAAAGATAAATGAAACAAAAACGGGAAGTAGTAGCTATCATTGTCACAAGGAGCTAATATATAGCAACTACAAAACGTGAGATAATTTAAGAAAGCAATGAACTAAATATATTATTAAAATAGTAAGTTTAAAATTAAAAATAATTTACTATTATCATTAGTCGCGTCTTACACATTTCTGGACTTTTGGTTTCCGTATAGAACCGTATACTAGACTGTTATCCAAAAATGCCACAAGTAGGGGGGTGGGAGGCTATGATGGCGCGCCTAGTGAAACAGTTACAGAGCTTCACAATCAATTTTTCAAGCGGAAAGCATACCTTTTATAATAACATCTGGTTCCATGGAATTTTCGCGGAATAAATAACCCCGTGTTCAAGTGGGTGAAAGTTGTTTTAATAAATACTTGTTGTTTAGATGAGTGCCATCTAGTATGCAGATTTGTTCTGTGACATTATTAATGAAGATCAGCTTCATTTCGGCTAAAATGTAAACCCTTTTTATTCGATAAACCTCGCTAGACACATATTCTTAACTAGAGAAGGATTTCCCGGAATGCTTTTGGGGTCTTATTTACCCCGAGATGATTATCTCGATTTCTGTAATAATGTTTCACGAGTTAACCCACTTGCTGCGCATATGGACGTGTTTGGTAATAAAATTAAAAGCCAGTATATTAATCTTCAGCCAGGATAAGTTTAGTTGATGAAGGGTACATTGAATTATTTCAGTGAGCTCGGTGGTTTGATTGTATGGCTTATCTCCCAGGAGGTGAGATTAAACTTACTATCGAGGAATGGAGGCATTGTGGTCTACCAAGATGTCACTCACTCATCACCTTATTTGTGCATTTCTCTTGCAGTCGACAGAAATCTCATAGAAAGCGATCGGATCTACGAAATGCGTGCCCATGCGATTTCTGCTCTACGGACCTATATTACAGGTAAAATTAAATCACACCCATAATATGCTTCTTCTGAACTAAACCGATTGAGCCACCGCCAAAATCGGCGTGCTTTTGAGTCTTACCTAGTACAGGGAACTTCGATTAATCGGTCAGATTCTAATAAAATATTTGGGCCCAATTAAGCGCCTACCCCGGCGGTATGAAGTGCAATCAAAATGACAAACGTTTGTTGGTAACCAAGCAACGAAGGGTCTCTTATCGATTAGCATCAGAGCTGCTCATCTCTCCCCTCATCAGGGCCCTCTACGGTACATCTTAATTGCTGGCACTACCACTGTGCGGTGGCTTCTGTACTCACGAGCTCTCACGACTGAGAGATTGGCACGACTCTGAGACGTGCATGGTCCACGCAAACCGCTTGATTGGATTCGCGGCCAGCCAAGCGTCCCATTTCTCTTTAAAACACGAACTAGCCACTCAGACTTGTCCCAATAAATCGGAATGCAAGGGCATATTTTGGTTTCAAAAAGTTTCTAATTTGTCGAAGGATTTGGAACCCTGCCGGCCTTTATATTTAAATTCATGGCTAGCAAACTACATATTGTATACTTTGTCTCTAGAGGAAAGTACACACTTCCCTACGATATGCAGAAGAGGCAACATTGTCCTCATAAAATGTTGCAATGGATGAGAACCGTATTGTATATTTTATAGGCTACATTAATAAATTGATAAAATGTCATGATATGTTATGTTATGTTATAAAATGTGTTATGAACAAACATCTAACGGTCGTAAAAATCACATAATGAGAAACTTCTTTAAAACAGAAAGGTACCCTTTCTGACATTTGAAGGGGGCTAATTTTCTACCCAAGCGTAACGAAATAACACGTTTGAGCATATTTTACGTGAAATATATTTGTATTTCTAAGAATACTGAAAATAAATGAAAAAATGCATGTTACTTAAGTAGCATTTTTTTACAGAAAATACTTTTCGCAGGTGGTCAGAAGGAAGCTCGTTCAAAAGCCGGCATCATGATATAACTGAAATTTATTGAGATTAAGTCGCATAATAATCAGTATTACAATCATACATAATAAATGTTTTCGAATCAAAAAAATATTCCAGAATTTTGGCTGGCGTTTTATGAGACAGGGAATCTACTGTACAATGAACAAGTTAAGGGCACTCAATTGGCTCGTAGCAGTGCGATGTTTTTGGGTTGAAGTTGTATACAGTTTCCTCTGCTCGTCGCTGTAAGACTAGTTCAGCGAGTAGTCCCCGTATTGATGAGCCCGTTGGCGTGTCCTTATTTTGTAACTAGTACTTGTCATTGAACTGACAATAGTTCTGAAGACAGAGCTTAAGCATGTCCAAAGCGTGCTGTTTTAGAATGCCAGTGGGAGTATTATCTAGACGACACTATATGCTTAAGCTCTGTCTGAGGAACTGTTGTCAGATCGATGGCAAACAAAGTGCAATTGTCAATGTTTTCTAGGCAATAATATTTCTCTCTACAGGCACCGAAATCTGAGCTAACGTTTTATTTACTTAAAGTCGGTGTTTTAACTTGCGTGAATTAATGTGAAATTATGTTGCGTGTCCATACTGCAACCTTTAATTTTGAATAAGCGACCAGGTCGACTAACCGAAATCTACAGTATTTTACTTCATGAATCACCAGCAATTCTTACAATTTTCACTTTATTTCTCCGCCGTGTGTAGTCCAGTACTCTACAGAGGAACGCTTTTACAGTCTAATGGAAGTGTTACCCATTCTGACGAACATGAACTCCTCTCATCGATGCATTGTGAAGGAGCTAATGCAAACACGACGGGACCTTCACTTTCCAGACCTCTACATACAAATGTTCCGACTTGACGACAGTACTGAGCTGGAGGCGGATAACCGGTCCGAGGAACCCACAGCTCTCGTAGCACCCGGCACCACCTTGACCGCCGGTGAGGCTGAGATGATCGGATCTGGGAACTGACCTTCCCACCGGTCTTATGAAACAGCCCCACGTGGACATCTACTGAACACGCCTAAGACGACTACTTGGACGTCCCCTGAAACAACTCACAGTGCCCTTGTAGCTCAGGTCTACTGCCTTCTCTCTTGCTCTCGTATTTGTCCTTGTCCCACTGACCCATACTCATCGTTTCTGTATGTGTTGTACCGAGGTAAACACTGCTAAAAACGTTTTAACCACCCCCATTTTACCTTGTATATACGTATATATAAATAAGTATCACACCCAAGCTTTGCCATGTACACCTCCTCTGCCCTTCTTATCCGTGCACATCCCCTTCGCAAGCGCCTTACTTGTCTCGTTCCAATTTTTTATATAATAAAAATTCCAAAGAATCAGGTTGTCTACCTTTTCGAACGGGCTACAACAGTGGGGATAGGGAAAATAGGAAGCCAACATGACTAGAAAATCAATAGCTTGCCCTGAAGTAGCATAGAGGGGTGCATTGGTTAAATAAATCACAGTGACTCCATAGATTCTCGCGTGGAAAAGCCTAGGGGGATGGGCAGGCCGAGTATACCACTGAAGACAGCACACACACACGCACGTTTCTGAAGCAAGTTGGACACACCGAAAGAAGG